CGCCCCCGCCGCCGCCGCCGCGTCCTCGCTCGCCTTTACAATTCGGGTTTTTTTTCTTCTTTTATAATTTTCAGTTTGCCTTTACTGGGCTTTCCTCCTGCCCCTGGAGGAGGGGGGGGGGACAAGCACATCTCCCGGCAGGATCTTTCCGGACTTGCTGGGTCCTGCTGGCGGGAGAAGGGAGGGCACACCGGCCTTGCTCCTCTGTCCCGGCTGTTCCAGGGAGCGCGGAGCCCCGGCCAGGACCCCCGCGTCCTGCGAGGCGCAAATGCTGGCCGAGGCCGGTAGCGCCTGCGGGTTCGGGACCCCTCGCGCTCCCCGCGCAGCGCCCGGGGCCCTCGGCCTGGCCTCCGCTGCCCGGCCCTGCTGCTAGCGGGAAGGAAGTTTACTTCGTGCTCTGGGCTGAACTCCGAGCGTGGGGGAGCTCTCTGCACCCCCCTTCCCCTGGCTCACACACCCTCTCTACCCGCGGCGGAATGGGGTGCCTTTGGGGGTTCCGAGCTGCTGGAAGGTGGGGACCTGTGTCTGGACGCCAGTGCCTGGCAGGCTGGGGTGGCGGCCGAGGTGGAGCGTGCTCTTTCCAGCCGGTTCCCTCCGAGACCGTGCAGGAGGACGGGGACGGTGTCCGAGTCCGGCGCCTCAAGTTTATCCCCGCATCTTTTCTCCCAACACATGGACCCTCCGCCCCATACAACCTTTAGATTCGGTATGAGCCTGCCGCGGATCGCGGGGCCCCGAACTTCCAGACCCGTCGGGAAGGAGCCATAGGGTAGTTTCTCGGGGCTGGGGGTGTAGCCCGCCAGAGGAGAATCCCTCTGAAAATCCCTTTCTCCCATGGGGGCCACGACTGCGGGGTCCCGAAGGCATGAACAAGTCCAGAACAAAGTTTGTGTGCGAGAGCTACCGGCGAGAGTGGGAGGAATCCGGGCAGGCAGTAAGGGTACGCAAGGACACCTCGATCCCTCCTTGTCTCTGAAGGTGTTTTATTGTAAGGGCCTCCGAGCGCCCAGGCCCAGCCCCGGAGGCGATGGAGCGGCGCCCGGGCTGGGTTCCTCGGGTCATCCCGGCACGGTGCTCGCCTCTCGGCCGCGGGAGGAAGAGGGGCAGTCCGCGACTCCGGATGCCGCTCGGGATGCTCGGTCCCAGACGGCACTTTACGGTATAGACCCGGGAGGAGCTGGGCCCGGATAGAGCTCCAAAGCGTGCCCTTAGGTCGGCACCTCTGCAGACTAAGTAAACTGCAGCCCCGAGGCCCCACGGTCCGGTCCCGGGGCTCCTTCCCTAGAGGCCTGCGTCTCCGTAGATCGGGGGCGCAGCGACAGACACAGAATCCGGGCAGCGAAGCCAAGGGAACCGGCTTCTTTTACCCAGGCTGTGGGCAAAGGGAACCCCTAACCTGGGGTCCCTATAAGAAATTGGGGAATTTGAAATTGATTATGAAAATTATTTACAGTATCTGTCTCCCCCACACACACATATACTTTCTCAAGCTTGAAGCTTTACCAGTCTCCGCGATTTCTCAGCCCGCATTAAAGAGCCCCTGAACCCCGCTTTCCACCCCCAAAGAAAACGGGTACGTGGGGTAAATCGAGGTAAAATTACCTAAGGCCGCGTTAACTACTACGATTCTTTCTCTGGTTTTTCTCTAATGGCTTCTTCTGCTTCTCGCTCGCACACCTATCTTTCCTAAAGTTTCTGGTGAGACCTTTAGCCCTGTAATTCTGTTAAAGTTAACAATTTGTATACGAAACTGGAGAGAAGAGAGAGTTTTTTTGGTCTGTTTTGTACATTTATATTGATTTTTAGGTTTTTTTTTAAAAAAAAAAAAAAAACTTGGTCTTGGCGGAAAAATTGATGCTTGCTGGTTCTTTGCCTTTAGCCTGGTGATCCGAAATTTTTAATAGTTAAGGCTTTCTCATAAAGCAATATTATAAAAAGAGTTCACTGCCTCTTAGCATTACTATTTATTAGTGCTTTTTTTTTATTTCTTTGAGCGTTGAGGTAAGTTAATTAAGTAACTGAATCAAGTTTCCATTCTCTTTTTTTCACTTTTTCCTTTTCTTTCTCTTTCTCTTTTCTTTCTTTTATCTTCCCCAAAGCTGTCCATTGTCCTAAGAAGCAGTAAACAGTTAGGGCACCCCAGGAAACACCCTCTTTTCATCCTTCTTTCCTCACCTCTCCCCACCCCCTCCTCTTCAGTAGTAATGGTCTTAGGTTATGATTGTTTTTACATGGTTGAACAATAAGTTTGGGAGAAGTTGCCTAGAGGGTACGTTTTGTAATAGGGTTACAGGATTTAGTATGTTGTAATAATATTAGTACATAAGTAATCCTCCCCAACGCCTGACATCCAGGAGGGCCTAACATAGCCCAGTCTTTTTATTTGGGAATAGTTGGCTGATAAAATGGAATTGAAAGTTCGTGGCATGTCTCCAAGTTACCTTTAAAAGTCACCTTTTCTGCAGTGAACTCAGCAATCCCCATCCTTTT